GTTTAAAATGGCCGCGACCTCGTGTTCGGGATACGAACGGCGGCCACCCAGCGTTCATCAATTAAGCTGCGGTTAACCGCAGCTTCAGGGAGGTTAATTGCCGGCACACTCCAGCTCCCAGGTGGTCCAGTCATTCGTACGGTTGTTCGGTAGATTGAACTACCGAACAACCGGCAGAAAAGCACGAATACAGCTTTTCTGCATGCAAAAATAAAGTCTTTTAAAAGGGGGCCATAGTCCAAAGGCAGCAGGCGAGCAACCAGGCTTCTCCAATGCAATGTGGCGAGATTGGTCTCGTCACAATAATATTGTCACTTAGATTATTCAACCTTGCATATGTAATGTGTCATTGAATATTTTCATAAGCCACCAAACAGGTATTTTTCTTTCTTAATTTTTTTCTAGCAAAAAAATACCAATAATGTGAATGTTTCATTGTTAAAAATATATATATATACATATCTAATAAAAATATGTTATTCAACCATGTAGCTAAACATATTGACAGTATTTCTTGTGATAAAACAAATCTAGTTTTTGTGACACCAAAGGATATAATCACTAAGACCTGGCTGTTTCCTATAAAAGCTCTAGAGCTGCTTGAATATAAATTATTTGGAAGCAACTCAAGCTTAGAAAAAAATTGTATATTACATCTGAGCCCTTTGACTCTTAACAGCTAGGTACAATGTCCAACACATATAATTTAAATTTCCGCAACCTTTCATGATGAATTTTGGGAATATCTTTTATTTTCGCAAGAATAATTTTAATGCAGAAATCAACACGTTTTCTTAATATGTCTAAACCAGTGGTTCCCAAACTTGTTAGGTCCAAATTGCCCTTAACCCCTTAAGGACCGAGGATGGTCTTATGTACTTACCCGATCGCCGTCATTCCCCTGGCGGCGATCGGCGTTGCTCCTGGTGTGGGGAGAATGCCTGGAGCCCAGACAGTCTCCCCATGGCGGATTAGGACCACTGGGGCCATGTGATCACTCAACACAGTGATCACATGGTCACAATAGGTGTCCATGTGTATGCCTGCAGGGGGACTGTCTGTGCTGACAGGCAGTCTCCCTACTAGTGTAAAAAAAAAAAAAGTTAATGTTAATATTTTTTTTTATATATGTCTAAATAAATATGATATATAGACATTTATTATATCTATATAATATATGTCTATATATCATATATATAATGTCATACCAAGTGTATTTATATATTAATATGTACATATATTAATATAAAAATACACTTATAATTAAATTACACACGTATATATATATATATATAATATATATAACTATATATATTATATATATATATATTATTATAAAATACAAATAAAAAGTAATTTAAATTAAATAAAAAAATGTAAAAATAATAAAAAATTATATATCTATATGAAATTTTATTCTAACTCTATTTTGATATTAATATATATATATATATATATATATATATTTATATCAAAATACACTTAGAATGAAATTGTATATATCTATGTATATATAAATAAATAAATAAAAATAATACGAAATATACATATGTCCATATAAAAAATTACATAAGTAATTATATAAATATACACGTAGACTTCAAATATATAAATATGCTTATATATTTAAATTCTACGTGCTTATTTATGTAATATTTTTACATAATTAAGTAATTTTATTGATTGCAATTTGAGGGACCTGCCTGCCAACCCAGGCCAAAAGTCCAGAGAATTTAATTTGCACTGTATTTTACCATGTAACGTTCTACGACACCCTAAAACCTGTACATGGGGGGTACTGTTTTACTTGGGAGACTTTGCTGAACACAAATATTAGTGATTCAAAACAGTAAAACATATCACAGGAATGATATTTTCACACACAAACAGCACTTTTACTGATGATAGCATTGTTGTGATACGTTTTCAAGTTTTGAAAAACTAATATTTGTGTTCAGCAAAGTCTCCTGGGTATAATAGTACCCCCCATGTACAGGTTTTATATCGTTTTTGAAAGTAACAAGGTCAAATATATGGGTAAAATATTTTTACATTGAAAATGGCCAGGTTGTTTACGTTGCCTTTGAAAGTGTATGGTAGCCCAGGAATGAGAATTACCCCCATGATGGCATACCATTTACAAAAGAAGACAACCCAACGTATTGCAAATGGGGTATGTTCATTCTTTTTTAGTAGCCACTTAGTCACAAACACTGGCCAAAATTAGCGTTCAATTTAGTTTTTCACTTTTTTCACACACAAACAAATATGAACGCTAACTTTGGCCAGTGTTTTCGACTAAGTGGCTACTAAAAAAGTCTGGACATAAACCATATTAAATACCCTGGATTGTCTACTTTAAAAAAAATATGTACATGTGGGGTGTTATTCAGAGATTTATGACAGATAATAGTGTTACAATGTCACTATTGATAAATTTTTAAAATGTATGTTTTGAAACCGCAATATCCTACTTTTACTTATAGTCCTAAAACATGCAAAAAAATAGCAAAAAAGCATGTAAACACTGGGTATTTTTAAACTCAGGACAAAACTTTGAATCTTTAGCAGAATATTTAGCATTTTTTTTCATTTGCTTTTGTAGAGGAGTAAAAGATTTTTCAAGTAAAAGTAAACATGTATTTTTTCAATTTTTCATCATATATATTTTCATTTAAAAAAAAATTAAATTACATGAGATTATATAAATAATGGTATGTAAAGAAAGCCCCTTTTGTCCTGAAAAAAACAATATATAATTTGTATGGGAACAGTAAATGAAAGAGCGGAAAATTACAGCTAAACACAAACACCACAAAAGTGTAAAAAGATGCCTGGTCGCAAATGTACAACATCGCAAAAACAGTCCGGTCCTTAAGGGGTTAATATTTAAATATTTTTTTTCAAAACACCCCAAGTCAAAATTTCAAGGTTGTATATCTGTACAGCGCTGCAGTATTTACTGGCACTATAGTGTAATGTATAGTGTTAATGTTTGAAGGGGTCCTTGTATATAGTTTTAGTGTTTTAATACAGGGGTGTGTTTGTATGTAATGTTTGCGTTTGATTGCAGGGGTGTGTATGAATGTAATGTTCACTTTTAAATGTGGATGTACATTTGTGTGAAGTATTTGTGTTTGAGTGAAGGGGTGTGTTTGTATGTAATATTTGTATTAGATTGCAAGAGTGTGTTGGTATGTTGTGCTGGTGTTTGACTGCTTGGATGTATGCACATACACTACTACATACATACACACATACATACATATTTACACAGATATACATGCACATTAACACACATGATACATATAAATACACCAACACATACATTTTCATATAATTCATATTCATATAGTCACAGACACATACTGACACATACACACACCTTAACACATACACCGACATATACACACACACCCCGACAGACACAAACATTGATATATGCACACACCATGACCCAGATACACACACTGACATAAAAAAACACACACCCTGACACACAAATGCACACTATGACACACAGGTGTGTGTGCACACACACAGACACACCGATGTGTGCACACACACAGACACACAGATGTGTACACACACAGAGACACACAAACATGTACACACACAGGCATACACGCTCACCCAGAAACACACTGACATATACACACACAGATGCACACCCTTACACACATAGATGCACACCCTGACACACACACACAGAATCACACTTACATATATACACACACACTCATACAAACACACACACACACACACACCCTGACACACACTCATACACACATACCTTGACACACACTCATACATACACATACACACACCTTGACACACACTCATGCACACACATACATATACCCTGACACACACTCATACACACCCTGACACACACACATATCCTGACACACTAATACACACACACCCATACACACACACACACACACACCCTGACACACATTCATACACACATACACACACTCATACACACACACACACACCCTGACACACACTTATATATAAATACACACACACACACCCTGACATATACTCATACACATCACGGCCAGATTAAGAGCCCATTGGACCTGCTGCTGACAATAATGATGGTCCTAATTACAGAATCTTATAAACCCAAAACAATAAAACAGTCATACCTCCCAAGTGTCATGTATCGATGGAGATGGTGCTGGAGGGAAACTAACAGGATGCAGCTATAAGAAAACACACACCATATGCTAATCTTTCAATAATTTATGCTTTCATCTTTCAAGTAAATCTATACCCCCTAACAGCAGGGTCCAGAGAATCAGGAATCAATGGGCAGGGTAAAAGTGTGTGCCACTGTCGCAAATCACATAACCAGAACTGCCGATAGGGGTGAACATGCCCAAAAAGGGGGTTTGTCTGTCCAAAGAATTGAAAGGCCAGCCTGGCATGAATGCATGTCAGACTGGCTGCCAATCACGCAGACTAGCAAACTAAGGGCATACTATGCAGACAGCATCCTGAGCATGGCATAAATGCGTCTACTCCACGCTTTCTCAGAACTGTCCCCTATCACTCACATGTTCACTTGTCTCCTAACCTTCTTACTAGCAGGCAGAAGCTCTTGGTATATAGTCTGGGACAGAGAAAAGGTGTATGTAGTGAGTGTAAAAGAAAGTGGACATGCCACAGTGTTAGAAAGACCAAAGTCAGCATTACCTTGACTAATTTCATTTTCCCATACAGCCCTTTTAAGCTTTCATACTTAAGCAAGAGTATGTGAAGAGTAGTTAGGGTTGCCACCTTTCTTGGAAAAAAATACTGGCTTTAATTATTTGCATAACTAATGATGTATGCGTGACATCACATGATGTAAATACAAGGAGTAACACAAGAGAAAATTCTGTATAATCACCAAAAAACTACTTACAGTTTGATTCTGCTGTATAGATGCATAGCTCCCATTGTCTCAGTGTTCCTAGTAATCACAGTGTCCCCTAGTGTCTGGGTCCCCATGTCTCCCAGTGTTCCCATTTCTCTAAGTGTTCCCTAGTATGAGAGACATGGGGACACTGGGAGATATGGGGACACTGGGAGATATGAGGACACTGAGACACAAGGGGACACTGGGTGACATGAGGGAACCGGGAGACATGGGGATACAGAGAGACATGAGGACATAGACACTGGGAGACACAGACATTGGGAGACATGGGGACACAGAGACTTTGCGACACTGAAAGATATATGGTCCAGACACTGGGAGACTAGGGGATGCTAGAATACATGGGGACACAGACATTTGGGGACACTGTGAGACATGGGACACAGAGACATTCGGAGACACTGGGAGACATGGGGACACGGAGACATGGGGACATTGGAAGACATGGGGACACAGACACTAGGGGCACTGGCTGAGAGACATGGGGACACTAAGACATTTGGGGACACTGGGAGATATGCTGATACAGAGACACTAGAGACAAAGAGACATGGGGACACAGAGACATGGAGACACAGACACTGGGAGACTAGGGGACACAGGGAGACATGGGGACACTGGCAGGGAGACTAGAGGACGCTGGCTGGGAGACTAGGGGACACTGAGAGACTAGTGGACACTGGGAGACTTGAGGAAACTGAGACATTGGTTGGGAGACATGGGGAGACATGTGAACACTGAGAACCTATAGGACACTGTCTCCCAGTGTCCCCATGTTTTACAGTGTCCCTTAGTGTCTCAGAGTATCCCCTCATGTCTCTCAGTGTCCCCATGTTTTACAGTGTCCCTTAGTGTCTCAGAGTGACCCCTCATGTCTCCCAGTGTCCCCCTGTCTCACAGTGTCCTCATGTGTCTCGCAGTGTCCCCATGTCTCTAGGAAACTAGGGGACACAGAGACACTAGGGGACACTTAGGGACACTGGGAGATATGGGGGCAATTGTGGATACAAACATGGGGACACTGGGAGACATGGGGACACTGACACTAGGGATACTGAGAGACATGGGGACACAGACACTGTGAGACTAGGGGACACTGGGAGATATGGGAACACTAAGACATTTGGGTACACAGACACTGGGATACATGGGGACACTGGGAGACATGTGGATACTGGCTGGGAGACATGGGGACACTGAGAGACTAGGTGTCTCAGTGTCCCCATGTCTCCCAGTGTCTCCAAGCTCCCCCAAGTCTCCCTGCATTCCTAAGTCTCCCAGTGTTACCTAGTGTCTCAGTGTCCCCAGGTCTGACAGTGTCTCCATGTCTTACAGTGTCCCCAAGTCTCAGTGTCCATATGTCTCCCAGTGTACCCAAGTGTCTCAGTGTCCCCATGTCTCTAGTGTCCCCTAGTGTCTCAGTGTCTCCCAGTGTCCCCTAATGTCTCTGTGTCCCTACGTCTCACTGCAGCCTTTCCCCCATCCCTCACTTACCTAAACTGTAGGCTGTCTCTGCAGGCTGGGAGCTGCTGTCCTGTGTAGCTGCTCCCCTGCGAGTCAGTGAGTAGAGAGAGGCAGGCAACTATAACTTCCTATTCCTACCTCTCTCAACACACAGCGACCCCTACTGGCCGGTGCTGTTATTGCTGAGTAATCTCCGTTTATACTGAGAAAAATACCTACATTTGTATTGCCGGTATTACTTCAATACCGGTGCGGCCAGGTAGCCGGCTAAGTCCACGCACATGCACAGTGAATCTGTCGCCAGCGTAAATCTCAGCGGCCATTTTGTTGGTTTCCACCTTTGTTTCTTATTATTAGGGGTCCATGTAAGTTTTTCAGAACTGTAACCCCATTAGATGACCACTGGGGAGAGGAGTGAATTTCTACATGTCGCGATTTGATCACGGATGTTGGTAGAGGTTAATTCCATCGCCGAACACGATCCCAATGGCCATCTTTTTGGTTGGGGCAAATCGTTTGTTGACAGGAAGCACATGTTGCGCATGTAGAGACTAATTAGCCCTGATTGGTGGGCTTTAAAAGTGGATTTTTTTTACTTTTGGGGATTGAGCTTTGCCTTGAGGAAGTCCAGTGAGATGAAACCGGTCGGCATTGAGGAGCCATCCATTTTTCTCTAGTTTGGCGCTATCTATGCTTGGCTTCTGTTTCTACTCCCCCACTACAGTACACCCAGTACAGGAGGGAGGATTGAGGACTGAATCCGTTTCCAGAGACATACCTGCGATATGCTACATACCTGCGATAGGCCCTACTGACCACTTTTAGTGGTACCACGTATATGAGTGCAATTATCTTTCCTATTTTATTGGTGTTGTTGGTTTTATACTATGTTGTGTTCTTTTTGTGATTAAAGATATGGAAGAATTGATTTGACATGTATATCTGTCTGCTAAGTGCCTATGTACTCTTAGTAAGCATTTTGTTATCCCATGAGGCCCAGGTGGGGCACACTGACTCGGATGCGCACCAGGCACCAGCCGACCGGTACTCGGCTAATTTTAATGTGATACGTTTATCTACCTCTTTTATTGCCCAACCCTTTCACTACTAAACAATTTGCCAAATAAAGGACCACCGTGAACCAAGTTTTATTTGTGTTCTGAAAAATAATGTGTGAATGTATTTTAGTTTAAGTATTCATATACAGAGGATTATTTAATGAAGACAAATAAATCTTTATTTTGTTGAAAAGGAAAATAAAATAAAAATATTTACTGAACAAAGAAGTTACAGATAAGAAATTTGTATTGTAAATTAATAATGTTAATACATATGTAACATCAACAAAAATTCTATAATTCTTTCACGTTTGTCCCTACAAGTGGCCCATAATTATTGTGTTTGTGTATAAATGTATAGTGTGTTGTGGACATAAGTCATGGGTGATGTTATATATTTTTAAACATTTGTAAATATTATGTTATTACCATTCAAAGCATTTTTTATAGAATTGAAAACAGGACCCATGATTGCCTGACTTGATTCCATATTATAACACGGTATAAAATATGTTTATTACATATTCACCAAAACATAAAGATCAGGGGGAAACCACTTTTCCCACAGATCAATATTTATTCAAATGTAGAAATGTAAACACTGTATGCTTGTTGAAATGAAGTATACATCTTTTTCTACAGCAACTGCTATTTTTGAAGACATATATTTGTACATAAAAACATACATTATAACAATAAGACCTCAGAAAAAACATGAGCTTAGCAGACATTAAAGAAAAAAAAAATGAGGCATTGAACTATTTTGTCTTATTTTACAACCACTGAGTTGATCTATTGCGTTGAATTAGACAAAAAACAAAAAACAACAAGCAGTTGAAAGGTAAAAAATATGATTAACACAAGAATCACTTTTCTGTTACATCCTTCACAATGATAGCTTTAGTATGATGTTAAGATGTGTTAATGCATCAAAAGCAGTTCCTTTTATACATAATTACTTAAAAGGTAAATGCATCACTATTTAAGAAGATCATACTACAGCATCACTTTGAGATGTTATATTTAAATGATAAGAGTCTATCACACAGTGCAATATCTCGCTGCACGATATCTCTACATGAATTCACTGGATTAAATTCATAAAAAGTATTTACAGCATGTCTTTAAATGTTGTTGGTTTCCATGGTGACAAAATCTTATCTTATCCCCGTGCCAGCTGCCCCATCAAAAAACTATATCTGCTTTTTTCAGGGCACTAAAGACAGATGTGGGTAGCCTTATATACAAGTCGAAATCTGTTCTCTGGAGCAATTAATTTCAAATAGCTGTATTTGTAAACCAGCCATCTGTGCTAACCTGATTTCTATTACACTTCAATCATGTGTAAAGATCGTCACTCTTCTATTATTTGAGTTAGAGTAATGATAATTTGAATCTCTTGCATTTATGCTTAATTACACAGCCAATATAGTAGGATCTTAGTGAACATTTACTTTTAAAAAGCATTATTTACCAAGGTTGCACAATTGTACAAAATAAATGTATAAATATAAAAATGCTAAATTTCAGATTTATCAGATTAAGAAAAAAATACGTTTTTTACCCCTTAAGGACCAAACTTCTGGAATAAAAGGGAATCATGACATGTCACACATGTCATGTGTCCTTAAGAGGTTAAGCATACTTTGGGTGATAATAAAATTAGGGCTATTACCGGTACTTTTAAGTTGTCAGATAAAATAGATGTTTTTTCAATTGTTGATAATATATGTCTCACTGGTAAATAATAACCGTAATAATGGTTATATGACATATTAAAATATAAAACCGAATGCGGGAAATGTTGGTGCATTAAATTAATTTCCATAAGAAATAATAGTAATAATTATTATATGCAATATAATAGATATGAAGGATTATACACTAAAGTGGGAATTCAAAGTGATCTTTAAAGTCAAAAGAGCCAAAATGGAAAAATTACATCTACGCTTTCAATTCTTATATTCTGTCCTTACATTTGAAATTTACTTTGAGTTCTCACTTTAGTAAATAACCTTGTTAATTAAAACTAAATCCAAGTATTTGCTGTATGTGAATAGAAACATGAGATTTTCAAAGGAAGAATGCAAGGAAAAAGATGAGCTCTGATTGTCCCTTGTTAAGTTCTATGTATATGAGATTTACATTTTTTACGAAATATATATTTTATTGATAATTAAACAGTGTAGTACTATATAAATTATTATAATATTATGCATGGTGCTTTTTTAAAATAAATGGAAATACATTTTAGAAAGCTTATTAGTAGTAAAATATTTTAATTTCCAATTTCTTCACTGTTTTTATTGCAGTAGCAATAAGTCATGTTCTGTCTCTTACATATAGTTATTTTTTATTTATTTTTGTCTACCCAAGTAATATTGTCTGCAATAATATTAGCTATTGACAATATATCAAAGTTATGATGCAAAGAAATAATTTGATTCATATTACAAACTGCAGTTCTTGCCGTCCCTGCAGTTTTACAGTTAGCACACATCAGCAGAACACTTATTGCAGTTATGCCTATCTGCATTTGTATTAAAAGTTTTTACAATTCAACTCGTAATTCTGGCACTATTAAAGTGGACTTTCCTGTATATAGGCACTGGATAGATCAAACTTGCCAAATAAG